AATATCTGAGCTGGAGGCTCTAAGTCTGAAATTGAGTGACAAAGCTTCACCTTCATCATTTACTCTTTCTCTGGCTTCTGTTCATTTACTACCTAGCCACTTTGTACTTGTTGGATAACTAAAAGGATGACGGCACAAGTCCAAGTTGTGGTTGAGGGAATTGAGGAAACATTACCTCAGCTGTAACTTGTACATCATAAGTGAATATGAGTTGCAGGGACAAGTTGAATAGTTAGGAGTATTGAGTATGAGAATATTGTCATCTTTGATTCCCCGGCTAGTCATGGCTCCAGCAGTGGCCATCCTAATAATGGCCAAAATTGTTTTCCTTCAAGGGTGGTAGGATATGAAGGTGCATCCATCAATTCCAGTTAGCAAGTGCTGTCTTTGGTTGTGCACCACTTTCATCTTTGTATCAGTAAGGGCGGTGCAAAATGTTTGAGTGAAATAATGGTTATAGTTGAAGAGCTGGCAGTTGTGTGCAAGCTCTGAGAGAGTTCTACTGCAGGCCTCATATCTCTGTGTCCGAGTTAAAGCTGTCTCTGTGTTGGGTACAGGTTCTGATTAATTAGTCCAGTAAGGGGTTATGGTGATATGAGTAGTGCACTTGGTAGGAAATGGCATTTGAAACATATTCAGTGACCATGGCCGCACATTTTGTCATTTTATTCCACAGTTTAGAGAAAGTCGCCATCGTCCCAGAGGAACATAAGCTGCTCTCTCATGAGAGAGACTCAACTGGTGGTGAGTTTAACATGAGGATTACCGTACATCAAGTGAGGAGTGAGGTTGAGAAGGGCGGGACCTTCATAGTGACTTCAGCCAGTGCAGAAATTGTTGACGTCATTGCATTAAAAACCAGTTAATTGAGCCCCTGAATGTTTAGTGGCATTGAATCCAGGTCCCCTGGGTTTGACTTCTGACATTTCCCTGCATGGTAGGGACACTGTCTCTGCACTACAAGAACCACCTCACCGCTTTCCCCAACAGGTTGGCTTTAAGCAAGTAATTGGAGCTGGACACTCACTCGTTATTGATCGTCTGCTCAGGCATCAAGCCAACCAACAGCATGGTTAACACTGAATATTGATTTCATTTCAGAAGCAGACTGCATGAATTCATTACAGTCAACAGGCAGGAGGTAATTGTGCACCACAATTGCCAGACCTGGTTTTGGAGGATATTAATTTTGGCCCACTAGATGTCAGTACCTGCATGATCTTTGTCTGGGGACAATGCTTGTAATTACATATAGTCTGACGACTTGGGGGCTGTATACCACTTTATGTTTAATGTTTATGCATTACTGCAGAGTTATGTTATCACAGTTTATTTAAATCTTCTTTTCTCCAGTTGTATTTGACTTCTGGCATTTCCATTAATAATGTTGAATAGAATTCTAGTGCTGTGTGTCAGTTTTGTGCCTGTTTAATATTAAACACAAATGGTAGCATTTTCTCCAGTTGAATTATTGTAGCTGTGCTGTCGAGTGGCTCTTAGAGACGTGCATGCACCCAGATACCGACGTTACTTCTGTCATGAAGCTAGAGTTACAAAGTTTAACAATACTGATTTGTTTAATGGTTCTCGTCAACGAACAATATTCTATTATCTTTTTATTATAGGTAGTTGGTTATTCGTTAACCAGTGTAAAATCGGATCATCCAAAATTACCTTCACACTGCAGAGGCCTGAATATTATCTTTTCTCCTGAAGTACACTTTTGGAGTATTCCCACAGCCTAGATTGACATTTAAAGATATGGCATGGCCTGCCATTTTTGTGTAGAATGAGCTTTTGAAAAAATGAATCTATTTTATTGCACTACATTGCTTTTGTAGAAACATTAACAAATTTCATATTTAGGCAGTTTCAGTATGAGTGCACAGTACAACTTTATCAGGATTACAAATCGTTACCTAGTAGTACAGAGCTTGAAAAAATAACATGTATTTTGAAGTTTTTTTCTTGAACTGATTAGGACATTTTGCAAGAAACACCAATGTGAAGAGAAACAACATTACATTGTATGAGATGAAAATACTGATTGGATGGCAAGTGGACTGTTGATTGGAGGTGTTCCCAGGGAGAATTCACTAGTTAATGATGACTGGTATTCATTGATGGCGAGAGACTTTGAGGAGTCATGAACCATATGTTGGAGATTGCCCAAGTTCTGCCTTTATCTTGCAGCCACTGTGCTGATGTCTCTGTTCTAATCAAAATCTTGTTAGTGCCCCACAATATTGATTTTTAGGACATTCTTTGATTGTGGTGCCTTTCAGGAAAGATGGCTGGAATTTCTCATGTTTAATATGCTCATAACTCAATTAGTTGATGTGAATGAGATGAAGCTGGATATTATCTAGGCATTATTTTAATAGCTGACATGAATCACTTCATGATCAGAGGGGATAGAATGGAAATAATCATTGAACAGTCCTACTCTGGCTTGAGAGCACGCTGGCCATTGTTGAAGCAGCTGAAGTTGAATAGACTGAGCACATGTCTCTGTGGAAGTTCTGTTGTGATGTCCTGGCACTGTGGTGACTGGTCTCCAAGCTTTTGGTAACGGCCATTTAGTTCCGTATCTGAAAGTTACTTTGAGGTCAAGGCATTTGCTTTCGCCTGTTCTATTGCACCCATGTCTGGATCAATGTTTACTATATGGTAGAGTTAAGTGGTTCTAGCAGTACTTGCACTGGATGTTTATGCTCATATTGTTGGTAAGTTGGTGTTTTTTGATGTCATAATTGACTATTTCCATCATTTTATCATGTACCTGAATAGAAGGAGACTTGTCATGCATCATTATTTGTATTTTACTAACGTTGTCTTTTGCCTTTAGGTATTAATTCACAACTGCTAAATATGAAAGAAAAACCTTCTTAATTAATTGAGCACCTTTATGTAAAAAGATTGTTTCGCTATCGAAACATTTTCTCTTAAAACAGTTACTTTCTCAAATATCAATATCTATTTTTTCATTGGCGAATAGCATCTGTTTTGTCTCTATGATTAAATTTAACAATATAGATGAATTGAAGGCAAAAATTCTTATATATTGCTGTATCCAGTTAGCTGGTTTCAGTCAGGGGGAGGGACAATTAGAAACAACATAACTTGCCTCAATCATTTAATTACAGAGATGATGCTAGGTAGGTCAAAGGTTGAGGCTGTTGGCTTGCTCACTGAGCTGACTGGTTATCATACAGACGTTTCACCACCGTGCTAGGTAACATCATCAGTGCGCCCCACCTAGTATGGTGATGAAACGTCTGTACGATAACCAGCCAGCTCGGCGAGCAAGTCAACAACCTTATCCACAATCCAAGCTACAAATCATCGCAAGAACCTTTTAAAGGTCAAAGGTTAGTCCGAGTTCTCACTTCTAACTGTTAAAAAGCAACATAAGTTTATAAATGGTGCTATACGTATTTACGTTAAAATTTCGTAAGCTTACAAAGTTCTCCACAGTCAAAAACCTACTGATGCATGTTGTTGAGGCTCATCCATGAATGTTGAGGAGCTGTACTGAATGGCACTTTCCAGCAGTAGTACTGTAGCAGTTGAACAATGCGTTCAGATATCTAGGAAGAGAAAGAAATATTTAAGCTGACAAATTACAAAGTGATATTTATGCCACACCAGTGATGAGCAATGACTATCTCCAACAAGATACAATCTATACATATCCCCTAGACTATCACGGGCATTAGCACCACTGAATCCAGATTATCAAAATCCTATGGCTCACCGTGGATTACAAACTAGATCACCCATAATTGCAAAATAAGGGGCTGTCCATTTAAGACTGAGATGAGGACTTTCTTCTTTGAAGGTAGTGAATCTATGGAATTTTTTTTTACAGTAGTTGGCTGGGTCAATAACTAAAATCAAGGCTGAGATGGACAGATAATTAGTCAACAAGGGAATCAAGAATTGTTGGGAAAAGCCATGAGAATGGAGTTGAGGGTTATCAGATCAGCATGATCTCGTTGAATAGCCAAAGCAGACTCGATGGGCTGATTAGCCCAATTCTGCTCCTATGTCTTAGGGTCATTTAAGGTATTAGGCTGAAAACTTTGCTTTTAAGTCACTATTTAACTCACTAAAGCCTATCGATCATCTGCCAGGCACAAATCAGGATTGTGAGAGAATACCCTCCATTTGACTAGATGCATGCAGGTTCAGTGACACTCCAGAAGTTCACCACCATTCCTGCTAAAGCAGCCCATTTTATGGTACCCCATTCACCAATTTAAATATTCTCTTCCTCCACCACTGATGCACAGTGGCAGCAGTGTATAAGATATACAAGGTGCACCACAGCAGCTCACTGAAGGCTGCCTTGACAGCAGCTTTGAAATCTATAACCTCTATCATGGAGAAGGATAAGGACGACAGTCACATGAGAATGCCAACAAGCTGCATGTTCTCCTCGAAGCCCCAAACCATCCTGAATACGTACTTGCTGTTGTTATTGTCACTGGATCAAAATCCTATAACTCCATTCCTAAGAGAGTTGTTGGTGAACCTACACCACAAGGACTACACCGGTTCAAGAAGGCAGTACACCCCCTTTCCCATGAACAGCAAGGGATGGACAACAAATGTTGGCCTGTATCTGGCAATAGGTTTATTCAAAATCTTGGGGAGTTGTCACTGAGATTGTACAAGCGACAACATGATTTGTAGAAACAACCGGATATTTAAAAAGGTGTATATGTTACAAATATCATGATGTTCAATATGTCTTATGAATACTGCATGTAGTTCAATTATGTGGAAGGTTTGACAAGTTAGGCATATGTGGCAATTATTTAGCATGCAATAAAAGTCCCTCAAACATCAATGAGATGGAAATCAATTCACCTGATTTGCCATGTAAATTGAGGGGAAAATAATTATTTTAATTTATTATTATTATTGAAAATATGTGCATATTTCTGCATGGCATATATGATCTGCCATTTACTTCGCTTTGATTTTCTTTTCAGCCTTGCATCTGCTCAGACTCTTCCACACCGTACACTAAATCAACCTCAGCCTTACCCAGAGAATTACCAAACTCTGCCAAAGAATATTGGGCAACCTTCAGAAAGTTACCCTGGTACAAATCATAACCTACCAAGTGATTACAAGTATGCCCAGGACCGCGTAAGTCACTTAAAAATGTCAAATGAAGACCGAAAGGCCACGAAAGAGGGCACTGTATGGCAGCTGTATGAGTGGCAGCAGAGGCAGCAGTTTAAGCATGGCAGCCCAACTGCTCCGCTCTATCCCTCACATGCCACAGACTTTGACTCTGGCCTACCAAAATCTGCCTTTGATGTTCCTCGTTCAATCTCTGTCCCTCCATCTCCCTCAGACATCCCGCCACCAGGTCCTCCAAAAGCCCTCTCACCCAGAAGACCCCACACTCCAGCAGAAAGAGTCACCGTCAAACCCTTGGAAACAAGGCCAGCTGAGATCATCTTATCGGGATCTCCGGGAAGAGCCCGTGGCACTTTGACAAAGGTAAATTCTGTGGTTTACATTATTTCAAAACAGACCAAGTACTTTTCCAAACATGCATTGATTAATAAAATGGTGCACCTAATCCTGCATATGATCCCCGAGTATATGCTGGATTAGCTAACCTCAAAAGCAATTGATGTAGAAGCAAAATTGGATGTGGAAAATCAGACCTTGATCATGGATCCTGGGTAGAAATTTCTCAGCTGTCAATGCCGTAGGAAGGTATGATTGAATAGGACGTTCACTTCTGTCTACGTCCTGGTGACTGAAACTTTCAAAAGCAGGATGTTGTCGTCTGTTATATAACCCCAAACACCATCCTAACTCAGTCAACTAATTTATCATTGGTGATCTTCCTGCGCTATATGTACTTCTGCACAAAAATGGATTACTTGAGAAAATACTTAGAGGCTGAGTGAATTGGGAAAACTCACCAGTCTGCTTTTTATGTCCACTTACTTGGACAGGTTGTTAAGTGCAGAGGTACAAAATATCAGCCACAGTGTTAGCAGTGTGTTTCTGTATTTTATTTTCTTCCTTTCTATTTTAAAAAAAGTCTCATTGTGACATTTAGTTCTCGTAAGTCAGTTGTTTCCAAAATGGGATGACTCATTCTGAACAATGGCTTCGCTGGGACTAGCCACTTCTAAGACTTCACCCAACAGTCTATTCCTTAAGAGTCAGTCTATACTGTGAATATTAGCCAGCTATTTTACAATGGGAGTGTCACAAACTCAGTCCTGATGCAGCATAAATTTAATTTAGGTCATCCATTGTTTAACCAATTTCATCATAATGTGCAATATAACTTTGTAATTTTGTTATTTATGGTATTCTTTATTTTTTGGCAGAGTTTGGCACACATTGACAGACGCTCTATGCCTCCCATGGGTTACATGACACACACCGTCAGTGCCCCCAGCTTACATGGAAAGACAGTAAGTTCCATTATGAATGCACATATTTACGTATTTGTATTGCAAAATTGAGGAAGGAGTGTTTAACTAATGAATGTTTTGCATCATCATTATTATACTGCTTCCTTGATCACCTTTCTGGTCTGAAGAGTAACATCCTGCATCTCTAAACTTCATCTGAGGATATTAAATTGCAAATTATATTCTCAATTAAATCTCCCAGTTAAGTGTACATAACTTTTGAGTAATCAAAGCTAACACTTAGAAAAATCACTTGTACTTAAAAATGCTGCAGAGAATTACATACTGTTACTCAATATGTTAGGATAATTGTGCCAAATAACTTGAACATGGAGTTAAGTTGTAGACAGCTAGTTATAGAGGACTAGTTATTTTCTGTTGCATTTGGAGATGGCCTTTTTTTATACTATTCCAAACCATTCAAAAGTTTCATATTTTCACGGGATGTGACTCAAAATTGAACTGTACTAGCCGCACTTGTTGCAGATACATTTACAAATATGATGACTCAAATGGGCTTTGTGTGGAACACTTGTTAATTCACTATTAAGTCCTTCACCTAACTTTTCCTTATCCCCTATACTGTGTCAAGGTCCAAACCTAGCTCACTTAGCTTTTTTTTAGAAAGGCGACTGCTTTCTGTAAACTGAAGCATTCATCACTGTGCTTTGTTTTTTTTTCTCTTCAAAGAGAGTGAACAAAGTATTAAGTCTCACAATGGAAAATGTACATTTACTCAATAGGTGCATCAAAACAATTCTTCCTTTTTATAAATACTAAAAAGAATAATCAATGGTAAATTGTTATCTCACAGAATAACAGCACTCTTGTATGTGTACCTAAATTATTTTCATATAGCATTCCCTGTTTTATTGCAATTAATTTACACTAGTTCTATTAAAAATACTTGGAAATTTTTAATTTCCTGGTGAATTGTTCACTTACAAAGTTTGCTGACTTTGTGTAGTAAACTCTGAATGGGCAACCTTTTCAACAGCTCAATATATTTATTACTTGCTGTGCTTAATTCTTCTGAGCCTGATTGAAACCAGTTGAGAAAAATCCATTCAGAGTTTGAGAAAATGTTGAAGTGTATAATGTTGAGTGAGGAGATTTGAGGTTTGTAGTTTAATTGTTCTTTTGGTAGTATAGAACTTGAGCACTGGAGGAAAGACATATTTTATCAAAGCTTTTGGTCTTGTGCTTATCTGGGCATTCGCAAGAAATACCAATATAAAGGGCAACATCTCTCACAGAACTGTATGAGAAGGTAATGCTGATTGGTTATCAAGTGTACTCTGATTGATAGAGGTGTTATCATGGCGAATGCACCAGTTAGATGATGACTGTCGATGACTACCAAGCTTTGTAGGTTAATTTAGATTGGTCAAGGCATTGCCCTGAAGAATGAAATAGAAAATGGCTGTCACCTATTTTGTTATTTAATGCATGTGCAACGTTCTGCCTGCAAAAAAAAGGATATTAATAAATGTAGCTTTCGTGTATGTAAGTGGACTGCACTGTGAATCTGATTGGCAATCTTGAATTGGTTGTCATTTTTACCATACTTAGGATTATTTAGCAAATACCTAATCACGAATCCCATCATGTGTGGATGCTACTGTTTTAAGATAGTGCATTTGACTCCCACAAGCCTACCTTCACTCATCTGTATATGCATCAGGATTCCTACAGCTCCACACACTACAAGATGGGTCTGTTGGCAATCTCGTTAATAAGGTTTGACCAATTTTCTCACTGTACAAGCTGGATTCCTAAGTAGTGTACCCCAAAGCCATTCTGAGAGATAATGGCTACCTTGATTAAATCATTTCTGACTGTGTATCTTGTATGGCATAAGGCTTCCTCTGGCACAGCAAAGTGCTTGGTCTACATCATCATCTGAAAAAATATTTCATTTTGACTAACTGGTGAAACTGCCTGTTTGATACTACTACAATGCAGTTGTAATAAGATTGGCTTTTGTGTCTAATAGGATGCTGCTGTCAAGCCAAAAAAAAAATGTTCTGCCTATCTCACAAATGAGGAAAATGGTATATGAATTTAAGCTTTGTACGATGCTATGTCTGTAGGCTGTATGCCCTGAACACTGGCTTGCCTTATGTCTATTCACAACAGGCAAGGCACTGACCATACCCAACCAGTTCATGCTCACGAAACTGTATCCAACATATGATGTGATTTGCAATTGGATATTTACTAAATAATCATGAATGCTACAAATTATGTTGACAACTAATTGTTATTTGAGCTTACAGTGTAATGCACCTGCATGTGCTTGAAGTTATACATATTTATACACACAGCCGTGTTACTCGCAGGCACAAAGAATGACCATACGTCGTGCCTGTTTCACATCAACAAAGTATGTGGAAGCCATTCTGTAGTTCGTTCTTGAGTGCAATACACTGACCAAACTGCGTAATCCTGCCGGGTTTAAATTTATGCAAAGCTTGGGAGCTATCATAACTTACCATCCAGCTAGTGTGTGGCCCATGGCAACACTCTACCAGTCAGAGCCCACTTACCAACCAAACAATCCGTACTCTGCTCATACGGTATAAGATGTTGTTCTCCTTTATAATGGTATTCTTGTGAATGTCCTGCTAAGTACAAAATAAATAGCTTGGACCAAATGCCTTTCTTTCAGCAATAATCCATTTAATTTATTGCTCAAACAGGACAAAATACTTCAAGAAAACTTAAAGTACAATGCTACTTAACCTGTTTCAGAGGGAAAAAGATGTTATATACATAGCTTTGAGGATTTCAGCTTTTTTTTTTGGATTAATGCCATTTAGATATAAAATGGAATCAAGCTAATCTTCTTAAACTCTTCTGATATGATATTGATTATGATCATAGTTAGGTAGAGTGCCTCCGAGTTGGAGTGACATGTTTGAATTGCTAATGCCTCCCTTTACGACTAACTATTACCTGCAGCCAGAAGAACTAACTTTACTGCTCATTCGATTACGGAGACATCAATCCAAGCTGGCTAATGTTCGAAATCATACTTTTACCCAGTTACAACTAAACAAGCTGAGCCAATCCAACCATCAGGTCAGCTGCTGATTGGCTCAAAATGTCACTCGATGTAGCTGTTTGTCCCAGAATGCTTCATGAAGTTAGCTGTTGTATGCTTTTTGTGGCTGTACAATAATTTTTATTTTAAATGTTCACATGTACAAACCATAACCAGCAGATCCAGCTTCAGCCATTTATTGCCATTGCGCATCAAGCTAGATCATTACCCAAATGCCATTGGTAATGTGTATTGATCTTTCTTATTTTGCTCTGTAGTTCCCACAAAAAATTTATGTCCTGCACATAGCTTTGCTAATGTCGCAACAGAGTATTTGACTGTACATGACTCTATAATGAGTTTATGAATTTTAGTTTCAAATTTCGACCTCTTCTGGCTCAACTAATAAAAGCAAGGAGAGGAAAGGTTCAGTCTTTGCCGATGCATTAGGTCTACAACTGTAAGCAAGCAATTAGATGAGGTGCCATTAGGCAGGCCATGCTGTTAGTACCATGTCCCAGTAGGAGTTACTTCCTTCTGAGGGAAAAATTTGCAGCAGTTTGAGTGGATGGAAGCAGGAACCAAAATCAGATTTAGCATTGCTCTTTCTGAAATCAACAATCTGTTATCCATTATAAAGTTCTGTAGTTTGAACTTGGACACAAAGTATCCTGCAGTTGGAGTTAGATGACTCTTTGTCAGTTTAACAATATTAAGAGACTACAATCACGATTACCCTGCGAATAAATCGAATTTCACACATCCCAAAATGTAAAACATTTTTCTGAGGATTTATAAAAATAAATATAATTTAACTGTTTACATTGCATTTTATTCTGCTGGAATACTTGTCAGAGAAAAGTGTCCACTGATTGACTGAAAAGCAAAATGGCAATGACCGTTTGATCACTTATTTCTCTCTAATATTGTATTCCCATATAGAAAAAACAAATTACACTCAAATATTCTGTTCCCTTAAAGGTGATACTATACTCTTTTATTAAGTAAAATATTGCAACGTGGTTTCAAAGTTGAGTTCCTGCGTGACTGTTCAGCACCTGTCCTGTGAATGTTGCTGTATGAACTTCTGGACTGTTATTTATATTATTGAAGAGCAGATTAAAAAAAACGCCTTCTTTTATAACCTGCCATTTTAGCTATACTCAAATTTTTGGTGCAGAAGCTGATGAAAGTGTGCATAGCATTGATTTATGTGTGTGCAAGCTTGCTTGTGAATAGCTGAAATCCAGAACTTTGAACTTTCAGCAATTCAAAAGCTTCTGTTTTATAGATACATTTGGATTAAGTTTAATGACTCAGTCCTGTAAATAGGTGGAAAATAAACCAAGACTGAGAAACTTTTACACAAGAAACTGATCTGTTCAAAGTTCTGGAAGTGCATTATGCAGTGGATTCCTATTTTTCTATTGAAATATTTTGAGTTAAGGGGATAAAAAAGATTTTGTGAATTTGATAAATTATTGATTGTAATTGTGCATCTTTATTTTCTCATCTACAATGTCAGGCTGATGACACATATATGCAACTAAAGAAGAACCTGGAGTATCTCGATCTAAAGGTTGGACCCACAATTATTGCCTCTTTTGCGCTGTCTGTTTCGCTGCTCTCTTATGACCACCTAGTCCTTTTTATCGCTAATCTGCTCTTCTGTATTTCATGCATTCTATCTCTTTCTGTTTCTCCCTATTACTGCCATTCAGTGAGTTGACTGAAAGTCATTTGTCCAAGAATGTGTATTTAGTATATGTTATCAGTCTACCCATTATGTTTTAATAATAGTGTGCTGGTTTCAGGCCATGTAGTCCCATGAAGTCATTAGTTTCCTGAGCATCTAAGTAATTCAAGACTTCAAACAAATCATGCTTGTGGATCAGGTCCTAGTAACTCAGCACATCTGTTAATTTACAACCAATTTCAAGTCCACAATTGTCAACTATATCACAAATCTATCATAACCCCTGTCAAGTACTTAATAGCAAGCTGTTTCAAATTTGAACTAATTTTCCTAGATGTTGTTTGCGGAAATTGATACTTTAATTGTTCTAGCCGTGCATGGAATATTCTTCCATATCTTCATAACTTAAATTCTATCAAGGCATTTTTGTTCCCAACTTAATGAGCTGTATCTAGAACTTAATTGAAATGACATTTGTTTAAGAGCAAGGTGTTCAATTTTCTACTTGTATGTTGGGAAAGTTTATAACATTCTAAAATGCTACAAATTCCTAACTGTTCACAAAACTCTTTGTTAAACTCCTTTCTGAATTGCAATATTTTGGAACTTCTTTAGCTATTACCATGAAGCCCTGATTCCCTCGTCGCATTGAATCCAGATTCAACGCCTGGTCTCTAACCTAAAAATTACAACTAACTGATCCAAATGAATGACACACTATCAGAATTTGCAGCCATTGAATATTTTACAGGAATGGTGCAAAATTGGATGAAGTACATCAGAAATTAAAATTTCTTCTCGTCATTGTACCGCTGAATGTTTGCAGTTAACTATCATGAAATTTTACTTTCCATTTAACAAAGCCTGTTCACGCTTCATGGTCAATGGTCACTTAAATATCTGGTTGAAATATGGGTGAACTCTTTATTAAACAGCAAGCTGCTGGCTCTTGCATAATGAGGTAGTCCACTACTGGACAGCATTGGTAGATGTTCTGACTAATGGATTTAATTCCTGAGATTGGAACTCTTGCTTGTAACTTGGTATGTATTTTATTATTAAACATCACTGATCCATTTACTTGTAAATTTAAGAGGGTCATTTTCCAAATTCACACTTTTAAAGTTCCTCGTATACTGAGATAATGCTTCAGTAAATTAACATCCTTTTGCACACAAACTAATGTTTATCACGTCCAGGATTGCCTAGTAATCACTCCATACAAATGGACTTCACACAATGAAGATACACCTGAAACATTTTCCATCTCATTAAAACAACGCCACAACTTGCCATTTGTCAAGAAAAATTAACATGAAAACGGGAGTGGATGCCTAGCAACTTCAGCTCCTGCCTGCACTAGTCAATGATAAACACCTTTAACTACTCATTGACATTCCATCAGTAGATTTTTATATCTTTAGAGAATATTGAAGTTATATTTTTAAAAAAATTAGAACTGTAGTTTGGTCAAACATGCTCCCCGACCAAGATCCACGGGTACCAGTTGTGCCCATCCCTTGTCCATGGACATAAGGTAGCATATGCTGGATCCCTATCATGGCACCTCTCTGGAAAAACAGGCAGGGTGTTTTGGAAGCACAGGCTTGCAGTGCAAAAGCAGACAACCATGCTCAAAGTCTAGGGGGAGTAGCTCTCACCAAAGTCCATGGAAACGGCCATCAGTTTGAGGGTACTGGCACAGTAAATCAATGGGATTGGCCATAGTTGGATGTGCACTTAGTGTTCTTAGTTGGGGGTGTATGTCATAGTGAGTGCTGTACCTGGTGTAGGGTGAGAGTAAGGCTAATATGTTCAGGGAAACATACAGCTACCAATCAGGATGTGGACACAGTCAGCTGGGGCAGTTCACTTGTGGGAATGGCTGCACTTGGTCTGTGCAGAAAAACCAAGGAGAAAATGGGATTGGGGGTTGGGGTCAAAGGGACCATTAGCGCGGGATTGAGACTCAGCAAGTTAGTCTTCAGGAGTGAGGACTGCAGGCTGGGGCAAGGGTGGAAGACAATTGGGAAGGGAGGACAACGGTATCTGTACGCAGTGACACGGTAAAGCATGCCTGGGAAGAGGGTCATGCGGGATAGATATTTGTCCGCAGTCTAGAGTACTCTGGCTGCAAGGGGCTGTGGGTGGGGATTGACAATGGGGAAACAGTGAAATATCACTGGGATTGGTCACTTCCTATGCCAGGGGCTGGGTGGGCAAGGTTTGCAGTTGGGTGGTGACTAGGGGAGCTGTGAAACTTTATGGGAGGGGCTATCAGAAACTTGGAGGGTGGAAGCCACTAGCTGAGCAGCACTCACTATCACCTTGCGTTGTGAAATTGAAAGTGTGCAGTGGGAACAAAAAAGGCTGTACCCACACCAAGTGGGCATGTCAATTAACTTTTCTTTTGGAAGGCAGCTGCGGCATTCACCAATTTTAGAACTTTTAAAGGAAAAGAACATTGTCATGCATAGTATGAGTCTGATTACACAGACTTGCAGGTCCCTATTTCCTGGCCATTCCAATGCATCGCCCCTTTTGTACATTGCACGTCCCTGCTACAGAAACTGCTAGGCAACCCGTTGACAGCTAAACTTTTGAACACAGGCCACAAAAGTATAGGAATGTTGTATGAAGCAGTTCACAGGCATTAAGCTGATCCATTACCATGTACACACATTGATCCTCTTGCTTCCACATGATGTAGCGGGCTCTTAGCCCAGGCCCCCATCCAAGGAGTATCATCTGTGGTCATGAAATTTTTGTAAAAGTACAAAATTATTCGCCATCCATTGTCAGCTGTGCTATCAAAGTAAACTTGATAGGTCACCTTCTTCCTCTTGCTCCTACTACATCTTAGTGGTGTCCCTGGTCCCACAGCTGGGATTGAGGGAGCTTGTTTGCCAATGGAAACTGTTGGACCTGAAGGTTTTGTTTGAGTGACCCCAGGGCACTTGTGTTGCCAAAAGTCAGCGAACTCTCATTAGTGTGAACTTCCAAGGGTGGAGGGAGGGTGGAGGTGGACAGTACATCAACCACTGGTGTTCCCCGAGAGGAGACTTCTGAACGACTGTGTCATTCCTGGTTTGACTGGGAGCCTCCTGGCACCATGCTGTCACTCCTTGACAGGAAGGGGCAATGATATTGTATACCAAGTGCTCTGTCTCCCTGTTGCTGTGCCGTTGATCCTGAGGGGCAGTGGAGAGCAAGACCCTGAGGGGACTAAACCTGCCTCTCTATGGCAACTGGTTGCATGGCTTGCTGCACTGGGCAGTGAGGGCCAATGTGTTTCACACTGCTGTCTGCTGCTACTCTTCCTCTTTGTGCATGTGGACAAAGTTTCTGATTGTCGACAGCACAGGGCCCTCTCCTTCCTGGGACTGAGCAGGTGGCCTAATCTCCGGCAGTGCCCATGGCCTGGGGTGTTTCTTCCTCGGCCTGCTGCAGAGCTTTCAGGGTGAGCTGTTTGTCAGACTGTACTCTCCCATTTTCTGGGCTTAATATTCCTAGTGAGGTGTCAGTATCTAGCCTGATGGTGAATGCAGGAGGTGGCTTTGATGCTTCTTCTGAGGCCTCGGTAATTTTTCCCTCTAGGGAGTTGAGGAGGTGGCTTCTGGGAGAGTCATGCATTTCTCTCTGGAGTACCAAAGATGCTGGGTGTACCTGAAAGACACGAGAGAAAAGACATCGTGGACAATATTTAGAAGTGGTGTGAAATGAATGAGACTGATAGCGGGGTTACTGTGACAGTTATAGTGGAACAAAGAGTGGTACTTAGTCATTTAGCCGTGTGTAAATGTCTTGGCATCCTCGCAGAACTGCTCTCGCTCTTCTCCAGTGAAGAGCAGGACCCTTTTTTCGTAGGGAGTGAGGGGCCTGGAGCTGCACACCAATCAATTCTACAGGGCAAAGCCAGTCTGTATGGTTGTCTTCTCCTGGATTGAGAGAAAGGGAGGAATTGAGTGAGGAGCAATAGGAGGGCGTGGCCAGTGCTGTTGCTGCTGCAGGTGAGTTATCCTGGGGTAATGCTTAGCCATTGCAGAGACCATGCTTTTTTTTTTATTCGTGTTGGGGTTGTGGTGGATGAGCACGGATGAAGGAAGATGTTGTGGACAATAACGAGTGTAGCAAGCCTGAGCCTGATGGGAGGTGTGTGCAGTGGCAGAGAGAGGTGTTACATAATCCTAGTGCAATGGAGAAGATTGTTGACCTTCTTATGGCATTGCTGGACATTCCACACTATGGCGTCAGCATTGACCGCGTTGGTGACCTCTGACCAAGCTGCCAGGATCTGGTGGCATGGTCTGCTCTGCCTGTCACCTGGGAAGGGGCTGGAGCTCCTTTTGTACCACCCCATTGACCAGGACCTCAGACTTCCTGTTGGAGAGTGGTGGTGCCATCTCCCCCTCTCTGACATTGTTGGTTTCTGTCTGTCAATCAGCAGAGCAGGTCAGATTTTCAGTGCATTTTCTGTTGCACAGCATGCAAGGGATGCTGGTCTTTCAGCTATCTGCTGAGTGGTAAGTCATTCTGGCAATAGTGCATGGTAAAATTAGGTCAATCGAACATGGGGATGGGGTAGGTAGTTAATGCGCTTAGTTTGGTAAGATAGTGAGAGAATTTGTTGGGCCTCATGGCTTAAAAACCCTCCAAAGAAATTGGTGCAACTTGGACTTAGTCCAGAAAAAGCACGATTCAGCCCAAAATGTTTGCAGACTAATTACCTTGATCTACTGAATCAAACCAGGTGATTCAGCCCAGTTGGTCTTTGCCAGTACATATGTTCCATTGGGAGCCCTTCCCATTCCCCTTCATTCCAACCACAGCAACATTTTTTTTATGCTATTAAATCTTTTCAGAGATCTGTTGTGATGTAGCAA